AGGAGGGGGGAGGGAGGGAGGGAGGAAAACATATTAGATTATTAGATTAAAACTATTACAAAAAGACCAAAAAATAAGAATAAAATGCCTGCAATGTTGACAGTGTTTTTAATTGGCATAGCCATTATGAAAACCATTATAGTGGTTCGTCAAAGCACTCAAAATAAAACTACCAGGACTGGAGAGATGGCTCAGCTGCTAAGAGCACTAGCTGCTCTTGCAGAGGACCCTGGTTTGATCCCCAGCACCCACATGGTGGCTAACAATCATCCATAACTCCAGTTTCAGGGAATCTAACACCCTCTTCTCACCTCTGTAAGCATTGCACACAGGAGCACTTACATACATGCAGGCAATATACTAATAGACATAAAATAAAAGTAAACAAAATATTTTAAAATTTAATTTATTATTTTAATTATATGTGTATGAGTGTATTGCCTGCGTGTATGTTAGTGCACCCATGTCGTGCAATGCTGCTGAGGTCAGAAGAGGGCTTCAGATTCCCCTGGAACTGGAGTTAAGTACAGTTCATAGCCGCCATGTGGGTGCTGGGAATTGAACCCAGGTCCTCTGTAAGAGTAGTCAGTGCTCTTAACCGCTGAGCCATCTCTCCAGCCCCCAAATATTTTTTAACTAAAATAAAATCACCATATGATACAGCAATTCTATTTCTAGGTATATACACAAAGGAAATAAAATCATTTTATCAAAAAGATATTCTCACTCTATGTGGAGAACTTGTCATACTATCCAAGATATAGAAACAACTAAGCTCCAATTAAGAGACTATAGAAGTAAATAATAGCCATAAAATAGGAAATCTTGTCATTTGTGACAACATAAATAAATTCAGAAGTGTTAAGTGAAATAAGCCAACACAGAAGTGTATGATCTCACATATATGTGAAGTTTTTAAAGGTTGACTCAATGAAACAAAATATAATGATTGTTGACAGGGGCAGGAAGGTGAAGGGAAGAAATGTTTAAAATTGTACAAATTTTAAAATAAATAAGTTATGAAGATTTAATATATAGCATACTAAGTTAATAATGATATATTGTATTCTTGAATTTTTCAATGAAAATAGACCATAATTATTCTCAGAAAGTAAATATGTAAGGTGATAAATAAGTTAATTTTCTTGATTGAGAGGAAAACATTCACTCAAGAATGAAGATCTATAGTTCAATGTTAGCAGGGGGATGAACACACACTTTCCTTTTCTCCCCAAGCATAAT